CTGGATAGCAGCATGCATGGCATATTTAGCCACTATCTTTACCTGGAACTGAGGAGGAGCATTCCCCATGGTTTCATATGGGGAAAGGTGGGTAGGAGTGTATGGGGTGAGCATAATACTGTACTCTAGAATGAGTTTTCTTAACTAAAATTGGGATGACCTGATTTCATCAGAGCATTGTTACATCAAATGGAATAATATGAATGGAAAATGAGAACGCTTTATTCAAATGAAAGTGGAGTGCCTTTTGTTGATTTTTCCTATAACAATATGAGAATCTCAACTAGAATGAGCTGACTGGTAAACTAGTAAAGGTCAGGCTAGCACCGATGCTGGATATTTTCACTTGTCACTCTGATTTTGACTGATGTTAACTAGCCTCATAGATTGTAATGATTTTAAAATGGGAATAAAGGCAAAGCCACATTATTAGAAACAACTCTTTAAAAACTGTAACTTGGAAATGAAGGCTAGTCTTACACTCAGTTTCAAGATTTTTTGTTGTTGTTGATTTAATGATTATTTAAATCCTTCAATGATCACAAAGCCAAGCACAGTAATAGGTACTCACTGAACTGAGCATAAGAAGACAGAATAAAGAGAGTTTAGAATTCACTGTTTGTTGTTTCTAAAAGATGTGTATAAACTTTACACATGTGCAAGAAAGATACCAGGTAACTCAGCTGATTATTGAACATTGGTTGGAAGGGGCAGTTGAAAAATACAATTTTTTATTTAGTAAAAAATCTTCTAAGATTCCAAAATCTTGATCTAGTAACATCAGGAGTGACATAGTTCAGGGTCAGATCCTCATTTTGCAGGCCCAGATCTTCTTCGGTCAGCATCCTGAGTGTAGATCAGGCTTGTTTGGCAAAACTTATCATTAATAAGTTTAGAGACCAATAGAAATCAGGATGTCAGTTCATTAGTGTTCAGGTAGAATACAGTTTTTGTGATGACCAGCATTTAAGCATCAGTCATTCAATACATTCCTTCTCTGTTGTCATATGATTTCATTTACTGAGCACCTGCCACATAACCTGCTATGTGTTAACGTAGTTGTCTTCAAGAAAGAAATAATTTCTAAGAAATGTATAGAGAATCAATATACACAACCTTTGTATATACTCTTTCCTAAAATTTGATCAGCCTATTGCCTCTGTAGTCAAACATTTTCTTACCTCCTCTTCCAAAATTGTTCTTTTTCCACTATGTAAAAGAGAGAGAGTTCTTGTCTTGCTTGCCAGTGACTTTGTAAGTGTATCCCAGTGATAATTCAGGCAATCGGTTACTTCCCATTTGGTGACAATAAACATTGACTATCCTATATATTTGTACTTAACATCATAATTGTACTACTTCAACCATTTGAGCCTTGGCTTTCTTATCTGTAAAATAAGATTCATAATAGTTATTATCATATTTAAGAAAGTAGTATGTAAATTAACCGTTATAATGCTTGACCAAGTATTCATATCAATATAAGGTAGTTGTAATGTTATTTCTGTTGTTATTACATATTAGTGGTTTTATCCATTTAGTATTTCAAAATACATAAATCTTTCTAACTCTAGTATGGAATATGGTAAGGGAATAATAGTTCAGTACCAACTTTGTCTCTTTTACGAGGTATCACTATCCTTTTCAGTACTTACTTTAGAAATGAAAATGCTCATTCACAACACTAGTAGAGTTGGATGGCTAATGAAGTTAACATAGTTGAGCCAGAATCTGATGATGATGGAAGTATGTTCCCTTGATGAGTAGTGCCATCTTTGGTGAAATTTGGATTGCTTATTTGACAGGAATCCTAAAGAGAACAGAGGTCTCAGAATTTATTTTGAATTTTACTTCAGGGACATTTATAAGTTTGTTTAAATGTTTGACAGTTATCAAAAAGATATGAGATCTTCTGAGCAGTGATTGCTTTAGGCTGCCTTGCAGGGTTACTAGCTGCTAGATCATGTGTGCATTTGCAGAGAGACCAGAAAGCTGCATCAGAAAGAAGGTGAAGGGGTTCCCCAGATGGGAATTATGACTCTGCTGTCTATCATCCCTCCCAACCCATTTAATAGTTTTCTTTGTTTTGTAAGCTTCTAGATAGATTTTTTGTTTAGAGAGAGAGAGATAATTTTTTTAATATTTTTTTTTCAGTTTTCGGTGGACACAACATCTTTATTTTATTTTTATGTGGTGCTGAGGATCGAACCCAGTGCCCCGCACATGCCAGGCGAGTGTGTTACCACTTGAGCCACATCCCCAGTCCTAGATAGATTTTTTAAAAGTTAGTTTGGTATCTTTGCATTTACTTCATACTTTATACTGGAAGTTTGGTAAAGGAGATTTTTATTTGTAAAGCTGAGGTTTTAATTTCTTTTTTTTCTTGGCATTGAAAATAAATAAAATACTAACAACGGTTAATATTTATTGCATGTCTGCACGTAATATTAACTGTAGGAATTTTATAGATGTTCTTCCTCAGCATATGGAATTTCTATTTCTAATTTGTTGAGAAACTTTTAAAAAAATCAGGAATAGATATTGGAATTTGGAAATGTTTTTCCTGTCTATGCTGAGATGATATCGAATTTAATATAGTCAATTATATTGGTTGGTAGTTGATGATTAGTCCAACCTTATATTTTGAGGAAAGCACCCATTTGGTTGTGATGTGTAATTCTTTAGACAGATTGAGGGATTTGATTTGCTAAAATCTTGAGATTTTTTTGCATCTATGATTATGAATAAAGTTGGTTGCTCATTTTCTTTTCTTGTAATGGCTTTGGTTTTGTTCCAGTTGAAAAGCTCTCCTATATTTTGGTTTTCTGGAAGAGTTTGTGTAGGATTAGTATGCTTTCTTCCTTAAGGGAGTTATAGAATTCACCAAAGAAGAGTTCTGAGCCTGAAGTTGTCTTTGTGGAAAGATATTTACTGCAAATCTAAATTCATGTGGGCTATCTGTATCTTATGGAATGAGTATGGTAGTCTGTATCTATTGAGCAATGGGTCCATTTCATCTATGTTTTCAAAAGTGTGGACATGAAGTTCTTCACAATATTTCCTTTTTTCCCTCAGTAGAATCTGAGCTGACATTATGCCTTTCATTCCTCACCATTGATAATTCATACCACCTATTTTTATGATCAGTATGGCTAAAAATTTATCAATTATATTAATCTTCTCAAAACATCCAATATTTAGTTTCTTTTTTTTTTTCTCTAATATTTTTCTTTTATCCTTCATTGATTTCCACTGATCTTTTCTGGGGTTTTCTGTTGTTGTTTTGATTTGGGTTTTTTTTGGTGTGTGTTTTACATTTTCAAAGTAGAAATCAGAGTCATTAGTTTAAGACCTTTCTTCTTTTCTAATGTAGGTGACTAGTGCTGTTTCTATATGTACAACCTTTTTGAACTATTACAATTTTTGATATGTTGACACAGGGGATTATTTATAATTGTCCCACTTGGATTTTAAATATTTGGTGTTTTTCATATAGTTATTACCAATTTCTAATTTAAATCCATTATATTCAAAGAACATAATTCATACTGCTTGAATCTTTTAAAATTCATTGAGATTCCCAATATGATTCAGAATATGGACTATCTTGCTAAATGTTATATGTGTACATTAAAGAAAAATGTGTGTTCTGTTTTTGTTCTATTGATACCAGTTAAGTCAACTTGATTGAAAATGTGATTCAAATCTATTTTATTGCTTTTTTCCTCAGCATATTCTATCAAACATAAGATGGGTATGAAAATCAATAATAATTATTTGCCTTTCTCCTTGTATTTCTGTCAATTTTGTTTCACAGATTTTCAAACTTTCTCATTTTGTGTGTAAACATTTGAATTATGTCCTCTAGATAAATTAGCCCCTTTATCATTGTGAAATTATCATTTTTACCTTTGATAATTATCTTTGCTCTAAAATCTACTTTTCTGACATTAATATAGCCATTCTAGCTTTTCTTTTGACATGTGTTACATGATATATATTTTTCATCCTTTTAATTTTAATCTATTTGTGTCCTTTTATTTAAAATGTTAGCAATTTAAACAAAATTAATGTGGGTATTTTTTCATTCAGTAGACCATCTGTATCTTTTATTGGGTATCTGGTTGATTTAATTGATTGATTATTGATATGATTATGTTTGAGTCTTTTATCTTGCTGTTATGTGTGTGCATTTACACACACACACACACACACACACTTTTTTTTGGGGGTCCCATCTGTTCATTGTTCCCATTTTCCAATTTCTGCCTTATTTTGGCTTAATTCATATTCTAATATGAATTCATTCTGTTGGTATATTAGGCATAACTCTTGTTTAATTATTTTAGTAGTAAGATAGCCAAGCATATTAATGACCAAATCTTACCACCCAGTCCCAGCAGATCATCATAATATAATTTATATTATAATAAGAATATTATAATATATTTGCTAATGTTTTGAACTCTTTGTGCTAGGCATTCTGCAAAGAGATTTACACAGATTATATAATTTAGTTTTCACAATTGCCTTATCAGTAAGTACTGTTTTTAACCTGATTTAGAGTTAAAGAAATGATAATAATAATTAATCAGCTTTCCTAAGTTCTTCCGTGATGTGGTGGGATTTGCCTGCACAGGGCATTCATGCATCCTTTCTGTTCTGTTCACCTGCCTAATGCCTCCTCACTTCCAAGTGGGTTCATCTTTTCATCTGTAACTTTGAGCTCTGTTTTCTCTCTTGACAATGGGGTAGCAGTGCATTATTTAAACAAAGTAACCCATGCTTATCTTTTAAATCTAATATGTTTTCCTCTGGTTTAGCAATAGCATCCCGGTTAAGATTGAAAATATGTGGGAAATGACGTAGATTCTGGTAGGCTGATGGGAGAGAGGAGTAGAGAAGATTGCTGTAGGGACAGATGAGGCAGGGTTTATGAATTCTTTGCACTCTGAAAGTGAACTTCTGTTGGTCTCCTCATCTGTGTTTCCGTTATTCAGTGCCTTGCTACGTGGGAGTCATTCATTACATCACAGACTGACCTCCACTTGGAAGAAGACTCTGAAGATAAACTTTAATCCCATAAGAACTTCTGTTTGGTGTTTGGGAGACAGCATCTATCAACCAAAGTTATTCTGTAAGGATTGGCTGTGCCCTGTATAAAGTGGATGAAAATGTTTCACACTATCTGGAAAACCGATTTGAAAACTCAGGTATTCCAGGTCATTGACATGAATTTGGATGTATATATAGAGAAATCTATCTATATAGATATATAGATACGTCTGTATATCTACATAGATAGATTTAGCTTAATTTTAATTATGTTCTTAAATTTATGTGCCAATAATTGCATATAGAGATTTTTTTCTTAAATATTTGATGTGGAATATTTCATTTTAAATATGTTGTAAAGACTGAGTTTTAATAAAAGGTTTAATATGAAATGAATGGCTGTGGTGTGTTCTTTTTCAATGGATAGTTCAAGACTCTGAAACATATTCTAATATGAATTCAGCTATGTTAACAGGTATGCTGTGCATTCATTTTAATTATAATTTTCTCTCAAATACTATTTACTTTTATATTAAGAATTTGAAGTAAATATCAAAAATTACTTAACATGAAAAATTAATAATAGCTCTTAAAATAATTGATTTGTTACAAGTTAACCAGTTTTTTTCCTACACTTAAAAGATTAGTTTTCTTTTTTTTTTTTTGTGGTCTTTTTTTTTTTAATTTTTTATTGTTGGTTGTTCAAAACATTACATAGTTCTTGATATATCATATTTCACACTTTGATTCAAGTGGGTTATGAGCTCCCAATTTTACCCCATATACAGATTGCAGAATCACATCAGTTACACATCCATTGATTTACATATTGCCATACTACTGTCTGTTGTGTTCTGCTGCCTTTCCTATCCTCTACTATCCCCCCTCCCCTCCCCTCCCCTCTTCTCTCTCTGCCCCCTCTACTGGCATTCATTTGTCCCCCTTGTATTATTTTTCCCTTTCCCCTCACTTCCTCTTGTATGTACTTTTGTATAACTCTGAGGGTCTCCTTCCATTTCCATGCATTTTCCCTTCTCTCTCCCTTTCCCTCCCACCTCTCATCCCTGTTTAATGTTAATCTTCTTCTCATGCTCTTCGACCCTACTCTGTTCTTAGTTACTCTCCTTATATCAAAGAAGACATTTGGCATTTGTTTTTTAGGGATTGGCTAGCTTCACTTAGCATAATCTGCTCTAATGCCATCCATTTCCCTGTAAATTCTATGATTTTGTCATTTTTTAATGCAGAGTAATACTCCATTGTGTATAAATGCCACATTTTTTTTATCCATTTATCTATTGAAGGGCATCTATGTTGGTTCCACAGTCTTGCTATTGTGAATTGTGCTGCTATGAACATCGATGTAGCAGTGTCCCTGTAGCATGCTCTTTTTAGGTCTTTAGGGAATAGACCGAGAAGGGGAATAGCTGGGTCAAATGGTGGCTCCATTCCCAGCTTTCCAAGAAATCTCCATACTGCTTTCCAAATTGGCTGCACCAATTTGCAGTCCCACCAGCAGTGTACAAGTGTACCCTTTTCCCCACATCCTCGCCAGCACTTGTTGTTGTTTGACTTCATAATGGCTGCCAATCTAACTGGAGTGAGATGGTATCTTAGGGTGGTTTTGATTTGCATTTCTCTGACTGCTAGAGATGGTGAGCATTTTTTCATGTACTTGTTGATTGATTGTATGTCCTCCTCTGAGAAGTGTCTGTTCAGGTCCTTGGCCCATTTGTTGATTGGGTTGTTTGTTCTCTTATTGTCTAATTTTTTGAGTTCTTTGTATACTCTGGATATTAGGGCTCTATCTGAAGTGTGAGGAGTAAAGATTTGTTCCCAGGATGTAGGCTCTCTATTTACCTCTCTTATTGTTTCTTTTGCTGAGAAAAAAACTTTTTAGTTTGAGTAAGTCCCATTTGTTGATTCTAGTTATTAACTTTTGTGCTATGGGTGTCCTATTGAGGAATTTGGAGCCCGACCCCACAGTATGTAGATCGTAGCCAACTTTTTCTTCTATCAGACGGCGTGTCTCTGATTTGATATCAAGCTCCTTGATCCATTTTGAATTCACTTTTGTGCATGGCGAGAGAAAGGGATTCAGTTTCATTTTGTTGCATATGGATTTCCAGTTTTCCCAGCACCATTTGTTGAAGATGCTATCCTTCCTCCATTGCATGCTTTTAGCCCCTTTATCAAATATAAGGTAGTTGTAGTTTTGTGGATTGGTTTCTGTGTCCTCTATTCTGTACCATTGGTCCACCCGCCTGTTTTGGTAGCAGTACCATGCTGTTTTTGTTACTATTGCTCTGTAGTATAGTTTGAAGTCTGGTATCGCTATACCGCCTGATTCACACTTCCTGCTTAGCATTGTTTTTGCTATTCTGGGTCTTTTATTTTTCCATATGAATTTCATGATTGCTTTCTCTATTTCTACAAGAAATGCCGTTGGGATTTTGATTGGCATTGCATTAAACCTATAGAGAACTTTTGGTAATATCGCCATTTTGATGATGTTAGTTCTGCCTATCCATGAACAGGGTATATTTTTCCATCTTCTAAGATCTTCTTCTATTTCTCTCTTTAGGGTTCTGTAGTTTTCATTGTATAAGTCTTTCACCTCTTTTGTTAGGTTGATTCCCAAGTATTTTATTTTTTTTGAAGATATTGTGAATGGAGTGGTTGTCCTCATTTCCATTTCAGAGGATTTGTCGCTGATATACAGGAATGCCTTTGATTTATGCGTGTTGATTTTATATCCTGCCACTTTGCTGAATTCATTTATTAGCTCTAATAGTTTCTTTGTAGAGCCTTTTGGGTCTGCTAGGTATAGAATCATATCATCTGCAAATAGTGATAATTTAAGTTCTTCTTTTCCTATTTTTATGCCTTTAATTTCTTTCGTCTGTCTAATTGCTCTGGCCAGTGTTTCGAGAACTATGTTGAACAGAAGTGGTGAGAGAGGGCATCCCTGTCTTGTTCCAGATTTTAGAGGGAATGCCTTCAGTTTTTCTCCATTCAGAATGATGCTAGCCTGAGGCTTAGCATAGATTGCTTTTACAATATTGAGGTATGTTCCTGTTATCCCTAGTTTTTCTAGAGTTTTGAACATAAAGGGATGCTGTACTTTGTCGAATGCTTTTTCCTCATCTATCGAGATGATCATATGGTTCTTATTTTTAAGTCTATTGATGTGGTGAATAACATTTATTGATTTCCGTATATTGGACCAGCCTTGCATCCCAGGGATGAATCCTACTTGATCATGGTGCACAATTTTTTTGATATGTTTTTGTATCCGATTCGCCAGAATTTAATTGAGGATTTTTGCATCTAGGTTCATTAGAGATATTGGTCTGTAGTTTTCTTTCTTTGAAGTGTCTTTGTCTGGTTTAGGTATCAGGGTGATGTTGGCCTCGTAGAATGAATTTGGAAGTTCTCCCTCTTTTTCTATTTCCTGAAGTAGCTTGAAAAGTATTGGTATTAGTTCCTCTTTAAAGGTTTTGTAAAACTCTGCTGTATACCCATCCGGTCCTGGGCTTTTCTTAGTTGGTAGTCTTTTGATGGTTTCTTCTATTTCCTCAATTGATATTGGTCTGTTTAGGTTGTCTATATCCTCCTGACTCAATCTGGGCAGATCATATGACTTAAGAAATTTATCGATGCCTTCACTATCTTCTAATTTATTGGAGTATAAGGATTCAAAATAATTTTTGATTATCTTCTGAATATCTGAGGTGTCTGTTGTGATATTGCCTTTTTCATCCCGTATGCTAGTAATTTGAGTTCTCTCTCTTCTTCTCTTCGCTAGCATGGCTAAGGGTCTGTCGATTTTGTTTATTTTTTCAAAGAACCAACTTTTAGTTTTGTCAATTTTTTCAATTGTTTCTTTTGTTTCGATTTCATTAATTTCAGCTCTGATTTTAATTATTTCTTGCCTTCTACTTCTTTTGCTGTTGTTTTGCTCTTCTTTTTCTAGGATTTTGAGATGAAGTATGAGATCATTTATTTGTTGGTTTTTTCTTTTTTTAAGGAATGAACTCCAAGCAATGAATTTTCCTCTTAGAACTGCTTTCAATGTGTCCCATAGATTCCGATATGTTGTGTCAGTGTTTTCATTAATCTCTAAGAATTTTTTAATTTCCTCCTTGATGTCTTCTATAACCCATTGATCATTCAGGAACCTATTGTTCATTCTCCAAGTGATGTATTCTTTTTCCTTCCTTCTTTTAAAAGATTAGTTTTCAAAAAGTAAATTTCAATTATTATTTGAGGTCTCAGTTAGAAATCTTGATACAGTCTTATTCCTACCTGTAAATATATTCTATTTCTTTTGCCATATTTTACATACTCTTCACAACTCATATCTAGCCTTGACTTTTTAAGGTAGACAGAGTTTATCAGGATTATTCTCCTATTCATTTATTAAGTGTCTCCCCTTTGCAAGGTGTTGTTGTAGGTGCTTGTGGTTCAGAGTGGTGGAAAAGAACCACTTACTCTTAAGGCTTAGATTCTGTTATATTGATTGTATAGAGTGATTTCATGTTAACTTTGTGGGTGTGAATTTTCTTATACCTGCAAGTGAAATTTCTGGGTCATGTCATATCTAAATGTAACCATTTCAGAAGCTACCAGACTGTTTTCCAAATTGGCTGCACCGTTTTACATCCCCCATGCCCCCAGCAGTGTATGAGAATTTCAGTTTCTTCACAACATCACTGATACTTGTTAATATCTGATTTCTTTTGACTGTAGCCATCCTAATGGTATGAAGTGGTACCTCATTATTGTTTTGATTTGCATTTTCATAATATATTTTTCATGTGTTTATTTGCCATATGTAAATATTCTTTGGAAAAAATGTCCATTCATATATTTTTCCACTTTGAAAATTAGGTTGTCTTTTACTGTTGAGTTGTAAGTCTTCTTTATATATTCTAGATTCAAATCCCTATCAGAGTGTGATTTTTTTTTCATTTTCTTGATTATACCCTTTAATCTAAAGGAGCTTTTAATTTTGATGAAATCCAATGTAACTATTTTTTGTTTTGTTGCTTCTACTTTTCGAGTCACGTCTGAGAATCCATTGCCAAGCCTATAGTTACACAGATATACTCCTATGTTTCCTCCTGAGTTTTAACTCTTAGATTTATAGGTTTGGTCCATTTTGTGTTAACTTTTGTATATGGTATGAGGAAAGGTGCCAGTTTCATTCCTTACCTGTGGTGTGCCTTTGTTTGTTGAGAGACATTGTCTTAAGAGTTTTCACACTGAGTTCCATGTCTACAGGTCTTGTCTCTCTGTCCTGCTACTTACTAATGGAATTCCTGGCATAGCTTTCCTGAACTTGTTCTGATGTATATTGTGTGTGGTTGTTAGTAATCTGTAAGTGTGG